AGATTTCTCTTTGGATATTCTCTGAACAGAGTATATGTTCTATTTTCAAAGCCCCAAGTCATTGACAGAAGTGCTGGGACCTCTAATCCAAAATACTTTAAGAGGAAAGAATAACCACCAGTCATATAAAAAACTTATAAGCTAAGTACATGTTGATATATAACCAAAGTAAAAACTTTTAAAAATGATCTCTACAATTCCAGTAGCCAATGAAGAAATGGTAATAATAAACGGTGCCCAAAATTTAAGCATTAGTGATTCTAAAATCAATACTAAAATATATAGAAAAAATGGTAAGATGGAAAAAAGAATAAGAAGAAAAATGAAAAAGAAAAATAGTACAAATACAAATGAAAAATAAGAAAATAAGTACAAAGAAAATAAAACAATTAAAAGATCATGTAAGTTAGAAAGTGAAAAATAAATGATAAAGAAAAGCCACTTAAAAGTGCAGTACCAAGAAAAGTATATGATTTCCTTATATCTGATATAATTCAAATATAAACACTTTCTTCCCCTACTTCTAGTTTTAAAATTCACCATTTTGGGAGTCTTTCTGGGGAGCAACTATAATTGTACTAGTCCTCTCAATTCTAGCCCAAACAGGCCAGGACTGGTTGTGGAGTCTTGAATGTGGAAAAGCTTCATCCAAGCCTATGAGAAAGTGTTATAAGACCATTTTCATATGAAGAGGTAAATCATTCACAATATTGTTTTTTTTTTTTTTAAGAGAGAGGAGAAGGAGAGAGAGAGAGAGAGAGAGAGAGAGAGAGAGAGAGAGAGAGAGAGAGAATTTATTTATTTATTTTTAGTTTTTCGGCGGACACAACATCTTTGTACGTGGTGCTGAGGATCGAACCCGGGCCGCACGCATGCCAGGCGAGCACGCTACCGCTTGAGCCACATCCCCAGCCCACAATATTGGTTTTTGTGTTCCTGGGGATTGGATTCTGGCTATAGTAGGAGCTGTCAACAAAACTCTCACACATGGACCCTGTGGGTCAGTCTGTGCTTAAAACCCCAATTCCCAACTTTTTTCAGTGAGCTCAGGATCATGCAAGACTCCAAGTCTTCATGCAGGATCTGTGCTTGGTTGGGGGAGATGCAGGAAACAACTTTTCACAAGACTTTCCCAAGCACTCCAAAAATGTTCTACCCCACAAAATTACACAAAAACTCATCTTCTTTCCTGTTACTAATCTCAAAACACCAGTTTTAACAGGGTGATGTCCCCCATTGACCTTCATTTTATAAGGTGGCCAACCAGCACACCATGCTTTCTGCTAAGAAGAGTTTTCAACACATCTCTGTTAATCTGAACCAAAAAGGTGGGTACCCACAATTCCAGTAAAGAGAGGCATCCGTTGTGTCTTGGAGATGTAAAACATGCAGGAGATTCTGACATAGTCCTAGCAATGGGACCTTCTAAAGTGGAAACCCCCTCTGTTAATTACCAGGGAAGTGATTGTAATTGTTTCAGTTGAAGAAGTGAGGTTTCTTCCTTCACATGCCTCTGAGCATAGTGAGATGGCCAGACCCAGGAAATAAGCTCTCCTCTCTGGAGATTGTAATAGCAAGTTTTCTACCAAAATCAATCCTGACACTCACTGTCACATAGTTCCTACAGGCACATTTAATTTTGAAACTTACATCAGTTTCTATCCATTGGATAACCATGTAACCATGAGTACAGCTTTCCAGAGCTCCTTACGGGACTCCAAGTGAAGAAGTATCTTGGGAGTTGCTTATGATTCTACTGAGAAGAAGCTGCAGTGCAACTGTCCTCCATTGACATCTTGCAGAATCCAATTGGCTGAAACTCTTTACTGGAATTTAAAATATGATTTTCTTGAGATTATAGAGGGTCTGAGCCTACCAGAGAAGAGCTTCCATGTAGCCAGTGTGGAAAACTGCTGCAGTTAAATTCTTTTACGAAACTTTTATTACTCTAAGAAAAACATATTCCTTGTTTTTATCTGTTCATTGGCTCTCTGTAATTGCATTCCACTGCTTGCCCCTTCCTAGTGTTTCTGCAGTCACACAACAATTGATTTAACTCAAATTCAGGGTGTAGTCAGTAACCACTGTATTCATCTACATACACGCTTTTTACCATAGTATAATTTCTTATCATTTTTTTCTTGAGTGGAAACTGATGCATACTCTATCCCATATATTGAAAAAGAAAGAAACCTTCTTTAAAACAACTTTATCATTTTATTAAACTAGTTTGTCTATCAGTAAAAGTTTTACCAAAAGATATTTAGATTCCTCTTAGCCCTTGCTTACCTGAATGAAAGCGTGGGGCCGTGGCTTCTTCTACTTGATGTGACATAATTCAAGGTCTATAACAAAATATCTTAGTTAAACTCTAAAAGCTTATAATTAGAATGTTTTAAATGTTTAAATGATGTGTAGCAAATATATATGTATATATATACACAACTTACACAAGTTATACATATTATATATTATATGTGTTATACATGGTAGAAGGTCCTGTAATTTTTAGTGGTAAGTGATGAGTAGGGTTAGGTGTAATGGAGTTACTTCCTGATGAAAAAATGCACATCATTTAGTGTGCTACTGGTTGATCTCTCTCTCTCTCTCTCTCTCTCTCTCTCTCTCTCTCTCTCTCTTCCTCTCTCTTCCTCTCTCTTCCTCTCTCTTCCTAATCCTTTTGATTGTTGATGGACCTTTGTTTTATTCATATGCAGTGCTGGTAATCAAACCCAGTGCCTTCACATGCAAGGCAGGCATTCTGCCACTGAGCCACAACTCTAGCCCCCATGTTGGTATTTCTCTATTGTCCTTCTTTCCTGGTTTTATAGATTTAGTAACCAAATGACTATAATATTTGGCTGATTTGCAGAGGATACATGACACTTTGATATAAAATGTTTCAAACATCTCTAGTTTTTAAGTCTAATTTATTTCAAATCTAGAAAGCTATGTGTCTCCTTAGAATAGTGATTAGGAAATCTTCATGGAACTCATTAGTGATATTAATTTTACCAGAGTATCTCTCAGATTCTTTCTCAGAATGGTTTGGGTCATTTATCTGGTGATGCATATCAAAGGGCAAAAGATGGTGTAAATGGACATATAAGAATGTAAGAACCATGCATTATATAATCATTGGATATAATGCATATTTAAAACATGAGCACTAGTATGATTTAATAGTGGAAGAAATTAAAATAATAAATAGTAAGGAGATTGAAATAATGCAGCTTATCAATGGTACATTTGAGTGTCCCTAGAGGAGTTGAATTTTTATTAGGTTCATTTCCAGATCTGCTTAGATTAAAAGAAAAGATGGGAAATAAGGAAGGGGAGGTGAGAAGTGGGAATGAAGAATGAGACAAAAAAACTATAGACAACAACAAAAAGAAAAAGAAGCAGGTACACATTGATCATGGCCTGATAAAATGTTCTCTGGTAACATTATGACTTCTAATACACCTACAAATTGGGGGATAAGATAGGGAGAATTTCAAATAGGTAAAATTAAATGGCCAGGCACAGGGTCTGCATGCCTATATTCCCAGCAGCTCTGGAGGCTGAGGCCAGAGAATTTTGAGTTCAAATCCAGCTCAGTAACTTAATGAGGTCCTCAGAAATTTAGCAAGACACTGTCTCTAAATAAAATATAAAAAGAGCTGAGAATGTGGCTCAGGAGTTAAGCAACCCTGGGTTCAATTATCAGTTCCAATAACACAATAACAAAGCAAAAGAAAACATCAAATAGGCAAGTTAAGTTAGAGGAATTGGTAGAAGATTAAGCATGCATAAAAACTCTCAAACTTTAGTGAATCAAATGTTGGGGAACATGTACAAAATATATGTTCTGACTCAGAGGTCTTTGGTTCTCCCTATCTTGTCCTCCAAATTCAAGTAAGGAGTTGAGATGAGAAACATAGCATTTCAGAATCACTGAGCATTTTAAAAGATAGTTAATTTTTTTCTTTACTGAAATCATGGCTTTGAGAATGCTAGGAATGCACCCAATTACTCTGCCAAGTCCTCATTTCTAGATAGCTAAGAGTCTGATGGACTGATATTTCATGAAAATCCTTGAAAGTCTAACAAGATATACCAAACCAGGCTCATTTTGTAAACAACAGACTGTATATGTTAATTTTTTGAATACCTTTTTATTCTTTGAAGAGCTGTTATTCTTTGTATACATGCCAATTAATTTGAAATTTAATAGGTTATTCATATCTTATAATTGTTTGGCATTTCAGTTCACTTTTCCCCTTTTGATTACCATATTTTAATAGTTTCTGTTTATTGAGCATTATTTATTGTATACAGTTCCTATGTCTTCTCAAATAAGTGGATCAAGAAACTTTCAGTGGGTTAGACCAGAGGTAACAGTAAAAGAAGATACACCCCTGTCCTGCCTGGATATGGAAAAATAGATTATTTTAAAAAGTATATATGTAAGCTGATCAGTTCAGAGAACTTTCCTCAATGGAAATGAATTGTACTTTCCACTGGACTGTTATCACACCTTTGGATTTACTATATTGTAGGACAAATGGAGGAACAAGATATATACCTGTAATAAAGTTGTTAAATGATTGTGATAGGCTACATTAAACACACATGCTGTTAATTTTTTTCTTCATTTTATATATTTATGTCCTGAAATTCCTGTTTTGCTCCTCTGATTAGATATTCCCATTCCTTCAATTACTCCACACCTTTACTTGGTATGTGTACATTACCTATTATATTTATGGTAATTATAAATGTAATCTCACTTTTGAAAACTTAACTCCATGTTTAATGAAACCAATATTGGATATTTTTTCAGTATTTGATTCATATTACTACTCAACAAAAACTAGCAAACACAGAAACCCAAAAGCTAAAATATTCTTTATCAAAGCTAACACATGAAACACGGCTCCACGTTGATTCAGCAGCAATGTGTGCTTGGTTTTGTTACATTCATGTTTTGTGGATTATATATTTCTTTTGCTTTTCAGTATTTCAGGATTTCACACATTCTTTTGTAAAGGTAATTATAAACATCTATGTTTATCTTAAATTATTTACTGTGTATTGTATAAAATGTACAACATGTATTTAATATTTACTTTCCAAACATATACAGCCTATCCTAGACAGGAGGTATTTTCTTCAAAAGAATACAGTAGGGACAATTTAAGAAAGGATATACAAATCAGGTAAATTTTGCAATGCAAGTTCTGTAGAAAGAACTATATTAAAATATTTGAAATGCTAGGAGATTTTCCCCTAAGTAGTAGGAGGATTTGACAAAAAAAAAAAATGCTAGTGTCTATATTGGCATACAAGTTTAAAAATATATCTTTAAAGACACAACAAAATGATTTCTAAAAAATCTTTACCTCAGACATTTCTAAAATTAAAGTTCCCAAACTGGAATCCTTATACCTTTTAGGTTAGTTATGAGGCTCTATTTTCCCCTCAGATTTTGTAAAAGTTTATTGTATAGCTGCCAATAAATTCCAGATCTTGGGAGATAGACATAAAAATATTTGTTTAAACCCAGGGATTAGGGGTAGTGTGTGAAACAGAACCCACTTAAGATTTAATTTTCGTTCTAGTATAATACCCACTTTATTGAATAATTACATTGAACCCGTGTTGTACTTGATGCAACTGTTTATTCTGTGTCCATTGTCACTCATTTGATTATGTCTGTAATCATTCATATGAAGTATTATTTTGTATTAATTTTTTTCATTTCATATAATACTAATAGAGTATTTATAGGAAATTAGTATTTTCTGATTTTTTAACCCAGAGTTGTAAATTCAAAATTATTTACACAAACCATTATGCATATTCCCTTTTCATGCTTTCTTTGCTTGTGTTTTTTTGTTTGTTTTGTTTGTTTGTTTATTTGTTTACTTTTTAATTGTGGGGATTGAACACAGAATCTTTTCCATGCTAAGCAGTGGCTCTACCACAAAGCTTTACCTCTGATTCATTGGAGGTTTGGGTAATTCCAAGATTCAGGAAATTGTCCCCAGAGCACCGAAATGAGTCCCTTCATCATAGGAAAATGTGAAATTGAAATAGTACCTGGTAAATCCAAAGAACTTAATCAGTTGCTGTGTTTTATTTCACATGTCATTTGATACCTTGTTTAACAGTCTAGAGTTTCTTATTCCAGAGACTCAGCTTTGTCCTTTATTTACTTAATGAAACTTCATTTTATATTGGTCACAGAAAATGATATATCCTCTGTGTTTATTGGATCATTCCCTCCATTCTGGCCTGGTTCCCTCTTTTTGGCACTTCTGTCACCTGCTTATTTATCTCGGCTCATGCATATGCTCTCCACACTCACCCTGTCCCCAGCATTTGGAACCATCTAGCTACAATGCAAATGTGACTATGAACCTCTCTCTAGAGCATGAAAGGCCAGCTTTTAAAATTACCCAGAAATCTTTCGTGAGTTCAGCCTAACTCTATTTCTTCTTTTGCCTTCACTGTCCTCTGGCATTGCTCCTGAGCAGCCCTGTATTTTCAGGCACATACTGACCCACTTAATGCTTGACTCTGTGTCCAGCTACAGCCTTTCAAGCTCTTTCCACTTTCTGCCTCTGACTGGTAACCTCACTTCATTTAGTCTCTGCTGAGTCCTAGCTTCAGGAAGCCATGATCCCTAGCATCTTTTTACTCTCTTCTCACTTACAAAAGGAGCATAATCAATTTTGGGTTCAAATAAACTGTTGATGCCAAATGATGTAAAAGAAGTCACCTCAAGTCTAGGAGCCAAAGGGCTAGACAAGGGAAGGAGTAATTTACACCTCAGCTAGTAGATATCCAATTGAACTGTGGCTGAAATACTAAGGCACTCCAAGGAAAGAAAAACCACTTTATGACAAGCAGATTCATAATTATGCAGAACTGAACAATCTGGGTCTGACAGAAGAACACAGTTTTCAGAATAATGAAGAAAATATTTTAAATACAAGATGTTCATTGATAACAGTATAGAAAATATCAGCCATTGTGGAAATGACTACTGAATACTAGTTGTTTTTATAAGTTACTGTTTTGAGGAAGAGAATAGCAAATTTTGTGAATCCCCACATTTCTATAGTGTTTTTAAAATTTGCTTCTGGCAACTTTTCATTCATCTTGAGTGGATATACCTTTGAGATATTTTTGTGTCATGAACCTGGTGATATGTAGTGTCTCCCCAGGTCAGGAACACTGTTGAAGTCTTACATCACTAAATACATTTCCTTAAATAATCAGTATTTGCTGGGTCCAGCCGGTCACTTCTAAACACACGTGCTTGGGAGACTGAGACAGGAGCATGGCAAGCCTCAGGCCAGAACAAACACTTTACGACCTAGCCTCCCCCAAAAAAAAAAAAAAAAAAATATATATATTTATTTATTTGGATACAACTCTGGCAGAGAGCTTGTCAATGTTGTAATTTAACCCAGAGGGTTAAATCACCAAATACACACAAGTATACCACAACAATAAACAATTAAAAAGGTAAATAATCACCTAAAATTCAATCTTATTATTACTTTTTATTTTTGACAGACTTCATTCTCTCTAAATGTTCTAAGTAGTTTAAGAATATCTACATAATTTTCAGCTGATCTACTTTGGTTCTCATCATCTGAAGAAGAGGAGGAAGGTCTTGATGGCACCAAAAAATAAGCAGCCACAGGTATGTATACACATCCTTTTAAATTTCTGGTTTCTTCTTGTTTTGCTTGTTTTAAGAAAATCAATAAGGCCAAATTGAATTATCTTTCATAACATTGCTTTGAAATCCAAAGATGGTAATTTAATATTTGAGTCTAAAAGAATTGAACTGGTTATGAATCTGAAAATAACATTAGAATTCATGATAACATATAGGTAAACATTATCCTTGTGATCGAGGCAGAAATTTTCCAAATATTGTTTGTGCTTCCATTTTTATAACCATCTTAAATGATGAAGGAGTTATAATTAAGTGGTTTTGTGAATACCCATTTGAATTAATGAACATATATAGTGGCAACGGTCATTGAATGGATTTATGGTAAAGGATGGTCCTTCCCAGTGGCTCAATTTTTGTTACATATGAGCATGCTTTCATGCCAAGGTGAAGATTTTCATACAGCCTAGCCATCAGTGTCTCTGTCAATGCAAATAGTATAACCTCAAAAAAGATACCCAATGACCTGTTAAGGAAATTGAAACCTCCCAGAATGGAACCATTGCTTTTGGGTAAAAGCAGGAACTTTCTAGGTTTTTTTTTTCCCTTTCCATACCATAAAGTAGTCAATATTATTAACATCTTTATCTAAACTCTTTAGTGAATAATAGAAAAAAAAAAGGATTTGAATGCTGTTTTTTGAGAATTTAGGAATTTGAGGTGTTTCTTGCCTTTTTTTCTTATTGTCTGTGTTAGTAAGGCCAAGGTTTTGCATGTATTTGGATGGTTTTCTCTTCCGAGTATATGTGTGTGTCCTTTAGTGCAAAGCTTTCTCTTTAAAATACATCCTGGGCAGGGGTGATATTTCAGTGTCAAGTATCCATCTTGATATGACCAAGGTGCAAGGTTCATCCACCAGGACCTTTTGAAGAGTAGAGAATAACTTCCAGTAAGAATAACAGTTTAAAACATGTATCACCTATAAAGGAAATGCTTGTTTAAAGTGATCTCTCTAAGTCCACAAACTAGAGAGGAAAACAGTGTACACCTAGTTGAGGAAATAGGCAGTACTGGTCATAAAATTATTAAGGTGAAATTCAATAAGGAAGGACATTGAAACTGATGTGATTAAACATCACCTTATCTGATGGTGATTTGGTAATGGAGTACACAAGCTGAGTTTCTCTCAGTTTGGGGTGTGCCCCCAGAGCCACTGAATTCAGTGGTAGTGGAGTACACAAGCTGAGATTCTCTCAGTTATGCCCAGCTCCTTGCATGGGGGTGCTTAGGGAAGGTTATCACTGCAAATGAAAACTTACCTTCAGTATTTTTATTTTTCCTCTCAGGGATGTGGTATGTTTGTCTGATAAAACCTCTCACCATGGAGTCTGGAAACTGTTTTGTGATGCAGACCCCAATTGGGGACTCCTGCAGTCAGTGATCTCAGGGGTGCGCAAGGTTCCAAGTGTCTTAGGGATTTCTTGGCACTCTGTTTCAACATGGTAGATGAGGTCTGTTGGCAGAATCTGTGCTTTGTTCTGGAAAATATAGGAACATATTTTCTTACGAGACCTTGCCCCCCTCTCCTGGATCTTTCTGTCTCTCGAATTACTTACTGCATAGTTTATCTCCCTCACAACCACTGTTCTTAAAGCACCTATTTGAAATGTGCAGTGCCCCTGTTGGCCTCTACATTATAGATTGTCAGGTGGCACAACACACCTCTTGCAGATAGGAGTTTTCAGCACATTCCCTTCAGTCTCTCTCATAAACCCATAGTATCATGTCTAACAACCACCGTCCTGTGAGGAGAGCTTGCACCTGCAGCTTGGAAATACAAAACAGGCAGTTCCTTCTGACCTGTCACACAGACAGACACTTGCAAAAGGGGCTGGACCACATGGGTCCGTTACAATCACCCTTCTATTTTAAGGGAATAGTTTAGAACCACCTATGTGGCAGAAATTGGAGCAAATATTTCAAAAGCCACTAATCATGGTAGGTTGACATACATGTATATCTGCTCATATGTATGGTGCTGCATGATATGACTTTTCTACCAGATACATCCCTGGCATGACATCACAGAACAGCAAACATGACATCAGAATAAAAGTGCCCTGGGTTTTTTTAGTCCTCCATAGACCACAAGACCTACTGTAGCTGCCCACAGCTGTTGTGTCTCTGTTTCTCATTTTCTCCCCCAGACCCAACCAGAATAGTGTTGGTGTGTGCCTCCAGAGCCAATGAATTCATGACACAGTAAAGTATTGGAAATATATTTTTTTTAATTCTGAGGTTTCTGATCTCTGATGAGAAATGACTAGAAAAAGGACTCTGAGTAAAGGTGGCTTCTGTCCAGCACCCTGATACTGCTAGCAGGAATTTGCAGTCCATTCATTCCTCTGGGCTGATTGTGTATTGTAAATTGCACTGCTACAAAACAGTGATGTTGACATATCTCACAAACTGACTTTTACTTCCTCATGACAAATACCAAGGTGTACTATGGCTTGGTGTTGAGGTGGTTATATTCCTAGTTTTCATGAGGAACCTCCACACTGCTGTCCAGAGTAGAAGTTTTTATGTTCAGGCTCACAAGTAATGTATGAGAGTGTCTACTTCTTTCTCCATCAACTAATGGGATTGGTAGAATTCTCCTTCTCAGCTCACTAGAGGGGAGCTTTCCTTTTTCCACCCTGTGCAATTTTACCCTAAAACTGCAGCAGGATATTTCTCCTATTGTCATGACACCTGATGGAATCAGGGTCACTCCAGGTGAATTGGACTGGCACTAAATAACTGCACAGACACAGAAAATACTTTTTTTGGGGAGATCAGGATTACTCCTCAGCCTCAGCTCCCACAAGGGAGCCATAGAAAGGCACAAGAGGCAGGCAAAAGAGAGAAAGCATGCTTGAAACCCACCTATTTATTGGGGAGAAGCCATTCAAAGAATATTCCATCCAAATAAGGCAAGGGGTCAAATTTAAGAGGGTGGAGTTTTGCTTTGTCATGTCTTGGTTAGCAGTTTGGCTGACATTTTGGAAATTCACACTCATCTCAAGTGCTGTGTGGGGAATCACAGGCAGAGTGAACAAAAAGGCACACAATATATCATATAGCCCAATCAGGCAGCTGCTATTTCAGACTAGTTTTCCTCATATACTCAAATGTGCATAGCTCACACACATAGCCCATGAATGATTCACAACATCCCATGAGTTTATTTACTATTCTAAAAGCCAAAATTTTGGGTTTCATTTCATCTGAGGCTCCCTACAGTACCTCTCCAGTATTTTTCCATAGCTGCTCTTTTTCATCCAGAAAGCGCACACCAGTCAATATGACTCAAGCTCTGAAAATTGGGAAGTGCTGTATATATTTGGGCTGCCATCTTTCTTCATTGGTGTACTTTTTAGTTCTCTCTCAAAGGAACAAGTTGTTTGCTCTACCCAGATTGTGTGTGCTGCTTTGTAACAGTAAGATAGAAACATTTCTTCATCCTACTTTGTCATTTTATTAAACTGGATTTTTTTCTCGGTGAAACATTTACTAAAAGGTTTTTAGATCCTGTGAGACTGTGATGACCAAAATGAGGCAAGTCCAACAGTGTCTCATTTCTTCTCAACATCATATGATTCCAACTCTCTCATCACACCAAGTCACATATTTTAACAATAAAAAATTCCATAAGTCCATTTTTTAAATTGTATAATGCAACATGATATTATGTATGTTTCTCAAGACTGTTCTAATTAAGTATTTAATGCATTGTTTGTGGTGGGGGTGTGAGATATGGTTGGTTACACAATTAGAGTACATACATTTCTGTTAGTGTATTGTCAGGGAATGCCATCTCTATGACATCCATCCTGCTTTTACCAAATCATGAGCCATAGGAAGATAAAGAGTTCAGCTTCATCTGGAGCACAAATGCTAGGTTCTCCTGTGGAAAGTGTGACTGTTCAAATCTGTAATTGTCTATGTTTTAATTAGCTGCTTTCAAGATCAAAATTTGGGTGATGCCTGAAAGAGTGATGATGAAGTCTTCATGCAGCACATTGGGTGATTCATTTTGCAGATATTCTCTGAGGGTGGTCTATACATGTGCATTTCTCACTCATACAGAGAGAAACATCATACAGCAAAAGAGAAAGCAGACGGACATGCCCATGGTAAGAACTACATACTCTATTCAGTTATTTGAACAGAATATTGATTTCTAACATGAGCACTGGTATATTCTAATACTTAGAACAATGAACCTAGTAAACATGTAGTAATGAAAAAGCAAGAAAGATAATGAGTTGTCTTCTTTTAGACCAAAATTCCAGCCGCAGGTTATAGTAGGAATGTCCCTCTTAGTTTCTTTACAAGACATGCATACATGACAGGAGACTTGGAAATTGTTAAGTGGAGAGGAAAAGGGAGAAAATAAGCATTATGAAAGGCAGAGAGAGTGAGTACAGTAAGTAAATGAAGAAAAAAGAAGACGTGGAGACAGAGAAATTTCATTCATGTACCTGAAGAACAAGAGCAGCCTATTCAAAATGTGGAAAGAAATGGGAGTTTCCAGTTGTGCACATGACTCAAGGTGTGAATATATTTTCTCACCACTCATTCCTGTCTTGGTTGTCATTAGAAAGGAATTGACAAGTGAAGAATTAATCATGCAGAAAGAAAGTTTTTTTTTAACTGAAATGTTCATGAATCCATGTGTCCAGTCATATGTTTATATAAAAAATCATAATTAAAACAAATTTAGAAAGTTTAAAAATAAGTAATATTGTAGATGTTCTTGCTGCTACCTGGGATGATGCACAGAGGGTAGACACAGCAGGATGGAAAGGGGAAAAGTGTGCAAATGATTATCGACTTATACCTAAATCCATAGGTTTCTAAACTGTACTTTGGACAATTTGGAGAGGAGAAGGGGAATAAACTTTGAGAAAATGCATTCATGACAGGAGAGTTGGAAATTGTGAAGTGGAGAAGAGAAGGGAGAAAATAAGCATTATGAAAGGCAGAGAGAGTAAGTACAGCAAGTAAATGAATACAGCAAGTATATGAATAAGAAAGAACTTCTCATCCTCCAGGTTTGGGAACATCATCGGGTAGAAATCTATCTCTATTATTGGAAGGCACTTGAAGGCAGGGAAATGAGAAGCAGACCAAGTTTAGATCCAAACTATCAAACTCTAATAGATTATCTTTTGGGAACCCTATTGAAAATGCACATTCTGACCTCACTGGTCTGTGCATCCATGTTTTCTTATGGCCAAAGGTGATTCCAATCATCACTATCTGCAGGCCACCATGTAAAGAGGTCAGGAAAGGATTTTCCTTTAGCAAAACTGAGTGCAGAGCCACTGGAACATCAAGTATGACCAAGTGATTGCATACAATTTGTTTTTATTCTGATCTTGTCTCTTGAAGAATGAGAAGGACTCAAAGTACAGAATGTATTTTTCTTAGGTCTAGTCTCTAAATAGGGAATTAAGAAGGAGTGGGGATAATCTATAGGCAAAATGTCAAATGGAAAGAATCAAGACCAGAGATCAAGATGTTGCTTTTGAAAAGTCCCAGGGAAGGAGAAATGTGGAAGGAACAAAATAAGCTAGCAGGGTAATTAATCTTGGAGGAAAGAATGGGGAAACTAAGAGCATGCAATTTAGGGGCTATCAGTATATCTAGCTTCCAAAAATATGTGAGAGACTGTAACTCATCCATCATTTGAATCGTGAGGAGCTGGTAGGTTGGGGACGAATTGCAGCCATGACCATCTCCTCTGTACCTACCAGACATACTGCTTGCTGTGGCTTCAACTTGAGTCATTCTGAGGAGAAAAATTACATTTCAGAATCATTGGTTGTTTTTAAAGACAGCTACTTCTTTCTCTTTCTCTGTTCTCTCTCCTCCCTTCTGTTCTTTCTTTCACTTTTTTCTTTCTTCCTTCCTTTCTTTTGTATTGAAAATATAAAGTCATGGCCCTGAGCATTCTGGAAATTTACTTCATTAATGAGCTACATCCTCATCCTTCAAAAGCTAATTATAATTTTGTGATAGATCAGGCCTTTCATGAATACACTTAAAACACTGTCAAGTAACACTGAACCAAACTCATTTGTAAACAGAAAACTTTATACAGTTTATTCTTTGAACACCCAAACTCTTGGTCATATTTGTGTGTGTGTGTGTGTAATAAATTATTATTGATATCTGATAAAGCTATGCCCTTCCATTTCACCTTTTCCTTTTGGATTGCCATATCTCAAAAGTTTACACCAATCAAACCTTATTTCTTAGATGTAAGACCTATCTGTTCTCATTTGAGGGGATCATGAAACTAATCCAGTTATACCAGAGAATACAGGAAAAGAGGATGCACAAGAGGAACCAGCATCTCATCTGTGAAAACAATAGGTGGTGTAGCTGTCAGTGTCAAAGTATGTATTTCAGGTGACTGATTTAAATATTTCTCTTTGTTGAGAAATGAACCTGACCTTCCCCTGGAATCTGAACACAGATTTAGCCTTACTAAACAAAAATGGAAGGACAAATGGAATAAATGTATACAAACTCAAAATTATAGGGATTAAATCCTTCCAATTGTTTTCTACTAAGATATGTACTATGGCTTTTTTTTGTTTTTACTTTGCCTTTGCCACTGAATCTCTCAGGGCCCTTCTTTGCTTCTCTGATGGAATATTGCTGAGCTTTCCATCAGTCTGCATCTTTGCATTGGTATATGTACCCTTGTCTGTTTTATTTATGGTCATTGGACACATAGTCTCAGATTTGTAAAATGAACAGCATGTTTCACAAAACCTATTCACTAAGTTCCTTTATTTACTTTCAGTCACATGATTGTTGTCAGCCAAAAGCAGCCAGCACATAAACCCAGGAAATAGAGTAGTTTTGTGCACAGCTAACCATGGACCTCAGCTCTATGTTGAGACATCAGTAATATAGGAGTTGTTTTGTCCTCTTCACCTTTGAGAATATATCCTCTTTGTGTTTCAGCCTCACGGGACTCATCTGCTGGCATAAAGGTAATTAAAGTTCTATATTTATACTAAATTATAATTTTGTAGTGAATGAAGTATACATTCTTATGTACTATATTCTTTCCAAGCATACTGAGCCCACTATCACAGTGCCCCTTCCATGGAAAGGACTAGGCAAGGTGAAAGAAAAGATAGTAAAATCAGGTAAGTTTTGCATTACAACATTCTGGGGAAATACTATGTTAAAACAATTGAAATGCTAGCAGCCTTCCCACATGTAAGGTTGTTTTCCCAATGAGGTGGGAGGATTTGCCCCACAATGTCAGTCATTAGTTACAGCAAATTATCTCTTTTCTGTGTTTCTGGGAATATCCTCTCCATTCTGAACTGCTTCTCCTCCATTTTATACTGTTACATTCTCCCTGTTTCCAGCATTTGGAGTGATCTAGCTACCATGAAAATGTCACCGTAAGCCTCTCTTTAGAGTGTGAAAGACCAACCTTTTAAATTTTTTTAGAAATTTTTCCTAATAAGTGCTGTGCCTCATTCTGTATCTTTATGCCTTTCCCTTACGTCCACTGTCCTCTGGCATTAGTCCTCACCAATTCTTCATTAAGACAAATACTGACCTACAGCATTTCATGTTCTTACTATCTCCTGCTCTCTGGATAGTCACCTCTCACCTGTCTCTGTGAGAGGTGAGTAGCCAGAAAAACCACCATTCCTGGCACCTTTTCCCTGCCTTCTTAGGTCCCAGTGCGCTTCAGCTTGTTACATTGGCTGTCAGACACATAGGTTCTCCTTTGCCCTTCCCCCAGAAGTCCCGTGGGTAGAGTCTAATCTGTATCAGTTTCTACCACATTTCATCAGGCACAACTTAGGTCCCTTGAAAGGCACTGTCATGATCCGTGTGTGTGTGTGTGTGTGTGTGTGTGTTGTTTAGAGAAACTGAACCAAAGAAACTACTGTGGCACTCTTGCCTGAGAATGGCTACAGCCTCAGCACTTCCATCACCCACTGAGAGAACAGCATGCTTTTTAAGCACCAGTGCATAGTGCAGTCTTTTTGACAGATCAGTTTAGGCAGCATTTTTGATCTCAGGTTTCTCCTTAACAGGACACACCATGGCACAACTTAGAATGCAACTTTTTCTCCTCTCCCTCCCTTGGTCAGAGGCAGACCTGCTTTGGTGTTTAAATGCAGATTGTGGGCTTTCTTTGTTCATGGTACAGATTTCTGGATCCCTAAGACCTTCTGAGTGTCCAGAATTTCTAGGGATTTGAATAAATTCCCTCTTTCACTCACCTTTCTAAGAAGCTCTTCACCCACTTTTTTCATCTCTATGTGATGGTGCAGCTTAGAATGCAGCTTACTCTATGCCAACATTTTCCCAGAATCAGCCCTTTTTTCCATGTAGATTTTGAAGTTTGTTTCTGAGCAAATTTCATTGATCATGAGTAGATGAATATTGGCAATATAGTGTGCATTGAACCCGGTATCCAGTCATGCCTCTACAAGGAGTTGGTTGATGATTTGAATAAGAAAAATACTCCCTGAAGAACTCAGTGTTTGTTGGGTGCAAATGAGCACATCTTTATTCACAGCTTCTTAGAAGTCCAAGACTGAAGAATGGCTGTGTTCATTCCAGTCAGAGGACTCCGAATGCCAATTAAAACAGCCATGGGATAGAAATAAGGGGTAGAGAATTTCACAAGAATGCACAAGTCCCTCTGTCCACTCCCAAGGTGCATACACAAAGAAAGAAAAAGAAAAAAGAAAAACTGTGGAAAGATGAAACCAGTAATTATTCACCTAACATTAAACTTAATTGGAAAGCATATTTGGGAATATTAAGTTGTATTGGTGTTACAATTACTTCTTTGTATTTGGATTGACATACCCTCTTTCTAACTCAGTTCTAAGGAATGTGAGTAAATGTATTCATTTGTCAGCAGAGACTCATTTTGACATGACTTCAGAGGAAGAGCACAAAAGTTTTGATGATGCTCAACATACCCAGCCTCAGGTATGTCAACATGTAAAGCATTTCTTCCTGGTTTCCCTTGTTTTTTCTTGGTTGAAGAAAGTAAAGGAAGCCAAAATAAAATACATTTTAAATAGTCTTTTAGAGTTCAGGCATTATAATGTACTACTCATGTCTACACTCCACTGGTTAGAGTCTGAAAATAGCATTAGAAATCATGTCAACTAAAATTTATTTTGTCATGGAGGCAAAATGATTCTAAATGTCACTTGTGCTTCCACATGGATAAACTTTTAAAAATAAAAAGTTGAGACTAAATTTGAGAATAAAGAATAACCACCTGGATTATGAATGGTGTAAGTGTAATGGCCATTGAATACATTCATGTGACGTGATTGTTGCCAAAGGGCTCAAAATTCTAATGAAAATCACTAGTTATCCACTCCAAGTTGAATGATTTTTTTTCCTGTGGTGACCTTTTCATTTTGTTTCTCATCCTTGCAGAAAAATCAGTCAATATGTTGAATATTTTTATCAAAATCTCTTTAGTTTGTTAAAGAAATGTATTTGGGTACAATAATGGGGGTATGATTGAATTTGGAGATGCCATCTCACCTTGTTTTCTCATGATGCCAGAATTCCTAGGGCAAGGTTTAGGTAGCATACATCTAGATGTATTTCACTTGGCTGGCATGTGTAAGACCTTGGATGTGCAGCTTTCCCTTTGGGATGTGTCCGGGCAGGGGCCCTATTCTAGTGTCAGATCCCCAACAGAACACCCAAGTCTCATATTTTAAAACTAAATCTTTGTCAGTTGAGTTTTTAAAACGTGTAATCCCATTTAGTATGAAGCATATTCTTCAAAACTCTTTTAAATAAAACTTGAAAACCTTCTCACATTTGATGAAGAATGTGAAGTCGGGTGAGTTACAATGAATATCATTCCTCCTGTGCTTCAGAGTGTGTACACATTTGTTAGAATGTTGTCATGGAATGCCTTTTCTGTGACATCCATCCTGCTTTTGCCAAATCAGTAACCATAGGAAGATAAAGAGTTCAGCTTCATCTGAAGCACAAATGCTAGCTTCCCCTGTGGAAATTATGACTGTTTAGTCTGTACTTGTCTACATTTTAGTTAGCTGCTTTTAAGATCAATATTTGGGTGATGTCTGAAAGAGTGCTCATGAAGTCTTTATGCAGCTCATTGGGTGATTTATTGTGCAGGTATTCTCTGAAGGTGGTCTATAGATGTGTATTTCTCACTCATCTACAGAGAAACATCATACAGCAAAAGAAAAATCAGACAGACATGCTCATGGTAAGAACTACATACTGTTCTTTGGACAGAATATTGATTTCTAACATGATCACTGGTGTATTCTAATACTTGGAAAAATGAACCTAGTAAACATGTAGTAATGAAAAAGAAAGAAAGATAATGAGTTGTCTTCTTTAAGACCAAATTCCAGTTGCAGGTTATAGTGGGAGTGTCTCTCTTAGTTTCTATACGAGACATGCGTACATGACAAGGGAGTTGGCAATCATGAAGTGGAGAGGAGAAAAAGGAATAAACATTGAGAAAGGAAGAGAGAGTGAGTACAGTAAGTAAATGAAAGAAAAAGAAGCTGTGAAGGCAGAGAAATTTCAATCATGTACCAGAAGGAAAAGTCCAGTGTATTGAAAATATGGAAGGAATATGTGGGTTTCCCTTATGAACATGACTGAAGGTATGAGAGAATTTTGTGTTTTGGTTTTGTGTTTTTTCAGGTAGGAACTGAATCAGTACCTATTACTTTATCTGGGATAGACACAGATTGCATAAGATTCTCACTACAAAATATTTTGTTGGAAAGAATACTGTTCTTTACCCTCTACCTTCTTTCTATTGATTTCTCAGTATATTCTCATCTTCCTCAGGGAATCCTTTCTGTAGATCAGTTTCCTTTATTACATCACAAAACTCCTTTTTATATCATCTTTCTGAGTTTATATGTTTTTCTTCTCCATTAGACTTTAAGCTAATGAATAGAAAGAGATCCCATCTACTTTATCTGCAGAGTACAGCAGAATGTGTCACATGTTGTAGGTACTCATCGGTTTAGTGTATGAATAATGCATGTGAAATATACAGCATTAATATATGTAATTACTCACATATTTTGTTTCTTCTTTCCTTTCTTTCTGACAGAGTCTGTTAGCCTGTCGAAATCCCAGAAAGCAATTGTATCACTTCAAAGAATAATAAAGCTTAAAAAAAGTCACTGCTCACAGTGTTCACTACATGTTAAAAAAAAAAAAATTCACACCTGGAAAATGAGATGCATGAGCTAAAAAAGAGGGTATCAAAGTTTAAGCACAAAAATGCAGAATTGAAACAATAACTCCACAATTTGAGGTATTATATTCTAGATTGAAAGAAGGGGTGGAACACTTTCCTTTATTACAGTCAAAATAAGGAGGATAATTTTTTTAACTGATGACCTGTTAGCATTTTCAAGGGAGAAAACTTGAATAAAATATAAAATTCTTACAAATAAGATAACATATTATTAAATGTGATTATTCTAAAAATTAAATGAATATTTTTCCCTGACACAATTTTAATGGCTACATGAAACCCCATCTGCTAGAAATCTGTTTGTTTTACAAACAGAATTTGGGGTTGCTATTTGTTTATATTTTAAGTTATTTTATTAAAATTAACATTTCAATAAATATCATTTAGAAAAAAAATCATTTTCCACTCAGATGCTATGGCATGTGCCTATAATTCCAGAAGCTAGGGAGGCAGAGGCAGGAGGACCAAAAGTTCAAAGCAAGACTAGCAACTTATCAAGGTCCTAAGCAAATTAGTGAGACCCTGTCTCAAAATTTAAAAAAAAAAAGAAAAGAAAAAGGCCTTGGGATGTAGCTTGGTTGTTTAGCTCTTGTGGGTTCAATCTCTGGTACCAAAGGTGGGAGTGAGAACAAAAAAAAAAAGGAAAGAAAAAATTATTTTCTATATATTTCTTTACTTTTAAAAAATATTTCAATATAGAGTTATTTGGTTAAAGTAGGGTAACTTTAAAAAAGATATTTGATCAGAGTTTCTAAATTGCTCTCAAGAAAGTTTGTACTCCACCAATGGATCATTTTCTACTGCCCTGAAACATGTTTTTATACATTTATACTTTTTCTTCTAATGCTTGGGGTCAAACCCAGGGTTTTGTGTGACTAGTATAATGTGCTAGTGCTCAGCTAGACCCTCAGCTACACTTTTATCATTAATATTCATTTAAAAATGAAATGGAACCGATGTGATTCTGCAATCTGTATTTGGGGTAAAATTGGGAGTTCATAACCAACTTGAATGTAATGTATGAAATATGATATGTCAAGAGCTTTATAATGTTTTGAACAACCAATAAAAAAAAGAAAAAAAAAGAAAAAAAAATGAAATGGAAACTGATTATTTGTTATTTTATTCAAATTTACTCTCATTCATAAATCAAATTTGTTCAGAATTCTATATTTAAAGACATAAACTTTTTTATTCTTTTTAGGTTTACATGACAGTAGAGTATATATTGACATAAAGTTATTCTTGTTATGGCTAATATTCCATTGTGCATATATCATATTTTCTTTATCCATTCATCTGTTGAAAAGCATTACTATTTATTATTGGATTAAATATTAGATACTCTCTTGTTCCAAAGTGGATTTTTTTAAGAGTGAAAATTTTTTAATATTTATTTTTTAGTTTTCGGCAGACACAACATCTTTGTTTTTTATGTGGTGCTGAGGATCGAACCCGGGCCCCACGCATGCCAGGTGAGCGTGCTACCGCTTGAGCCACATCCCCAGCCCCAAAGTGGATTTTAATTTGTTTGTAAAATACATAATGATCAACAAGCTAAGTTGAAAGTGTTACCATAAAAGAAACATAATAACAGGTATTAGATTTCTTATTCCAGTTTGGGGTTATAGTAATACAAGATATATATATGTTGAAAGAAGAATTCTGAATGTGCTATTACACTGTAAGTCAATTGTAGGTGTACCTGACATACTTTATGAAGATAAATCATATTACTACTGAATTCATAAATTTGTATATAAACAATAAGTCTTTAAAACTTATTTGACTTGAAATTATCTTTTTAACTGGGGAGGATCTATGATAGTGCAAGAAAAGATAACTTTGAACTTGTCAATTTACCAAATCACTTCAAAATTCTTTTTTGTAGTATCTAAAAGATTAACTAGTAACAGAAACTTACCAAATAACAAATAGTTTTTTTATTATTGCCTTTCAATTATGTATGTTTTGGGGAAGAATAAAGGAGATATTAAAAATGTGTGACTAGAAAGGAAAAGCTTCAGAGAACATAAGGTTTTTATTGAGATACCAAATCAGGATACAGAGAGCCAGAACATAAAAGACTTTTTGTTTTCTAGCAAAAATCAATTGAAAGGTAACCATATTTAACTTCAGATGTACTTTAAAAGAAAAAGAGGCTAAGAGAAAAATGATGATATATTATATGAAAAAAATTAAGGACCCATTAAAAGAAAAAGAAACTGAATATAACAAAGAAAATAAAGTGAGAAAGCAACCTGAAATCTCTGTTTGCACAATACATACAGAATTGGAGACTGCAAGAAATAAGTTTAATTGGGTAAATAAGCCTTCGGTAAAGTTTAAATTTTTACTTTATTTCTTTGGCATTATTTATAAAATCCCTTTAACTTACTCTATGCAGCCATGTTTCAGTTAATGATGGCAATGTGGTCTGAGGAATGTGCTGTTTGGCAATTTTACCTATATGTAGTCATCATGTGTGTGCACTTTCATACACTTTCAGACATCTCCCACAATGCCAGGAAATGCAGACTTCCAGGACCTCCATTTATATGCAGTCTGCTGTCTCCCAAAGCATTGGTATGTGGAGTGTGAACTATTATTTGTGTTTAAAATACAATGTTATCTTACTCTAAAATTAAGTGATGACATCTATCACTAAACCAATTACTACAAATCTTAGCACCTGGTAGATGTTTAGTATTTGTTTCCTTAATGAAGAAGTCAAATTTGATCACTGATATAAGTATAAATTTAAGGCTTTTTTATGTTCACATACAGACTAAATAGTTATGAAACTAGTTAAGACATTTTTTAAAGTTTTTCACAATCACATTTCTGCCTGTATTTAAGAAATATTTTCACTCAGCCAAATTTATCTGTCATTTTTGCAGTTGAAATGTAAGACATTTACTTATAAAGAATAAATCTACTCTCTAATTTTTTAAGGTACCACTCTTAAATTAAGCTTTTAAAGTTCCTACCATCTGCTGATATGTGACCAAAACCTTGCTGAAATAAATTTGTAGATTTTAGCAGAGCAAACTGAAACCCACAATTTCTGTGAGAACAGAATGCCAGAATTTACAATATGGAATTTCGGTAAAATGTCTTTGCAAACAAAAAGAGAGATAGACATGTGCAAAAGAAATAGTTTCCTCTGTTTTCAAATGAGTGAGTGTGTGTGTGTGTGTGTGTGTGTGTGTGTAACATATTTTAAACAGTAATTCTATCCATCATGGAAACGTATAGAAGGTTTTAAATCCATATATTTATAACCATACTATATATATTTTGGGGGTGATGCTGGAATTTTTTGTCTTATTGAATTAAGTAATGTTCTTAATTCAACTCTATTTATCTACATCAGTCCTATGATGACTTTCAGAGTAGCCTTATCAAGAGAAAAGACTTTTAATATTTTCCATAAGAATAGATGATTTTTCTATGATCCTAAAACCCTTGCTTCTAATCGTAGATCTTCTAGTTTAGTTTGGGGAAGTGACTTCGCTCCCTTGTTGTGTTCATATGTGTTATTCCTCCCACTGTTAAGTAAGGAGGAAAAGTGTTGCCAGCAAAGACCCTGGTTTTGAATATAATTTTCTCACTTTTGAGAAGAGAAACAAACAAATATTCTCCTATTTCAGTATAAAACACCTTTGGAAACAATGGCATACTATAATATGTTCTTAGAAATAAATTACTGGTAAGTATTTATTCCTAATCAATAAAGTCAGTTTATTTCCTCTATTATATATTTACTCATGTTTCAAACTTCACTGAGATGAAACAAATGCCACTCAGTAGCAATCTCAGGATTTTCTGAGTATAGCCTTGCACATTTTGCCTTAGTTACCATTCATATAGTGAAATGCAAGCCTTCTTTGATGTTTATCCATTCACAGGACAGAAATAACCGGCTTGGTGGATGAGCACTAGAAGCACAGGCAAAAGACTTGGAGAAAATCTTGCAACTTGCTTGTTTTTAGCCTTGCCCTCATTTTCAGAATAGTGATACAATGTTCATTGATATGCATACATATGATTAGTGCCATTCCTAGATATATCATTTATCAATAGATGCAATTCTCATACCTGGATACAGAATGTTAGAAAAAAGCATATGTGAAGAATATATTCAGTAAAAGACCACATTCCTCTTCCCTAACCTCCCTCCTCTTTGCCCAAACAAATTTCCTCCATTTTTTCCAATGTCTCTTCTCTCCTCACTATGGATCTACATCCACATATCAGAGAGAACATTTGCCCTTTGGTTTGGGGGGTTTGGCTTACTTCACTTAGCATGATATTCTTCAAGTACATCCATTTTTCTGCAAATGCCATAGTTTTATTCTCTTTTAATGCTGAGTAATATTCCATTGTGTATATATACTGCAGTTTCTTTGTCCATTCATCTATTGAAGAACATCTAGATTGCTTCCACAGTTTAGCTATTGTCAATTGAGCTGCTATGAACATTGATGTAGCTGAATTACTATAGTATACTTATTTTAAGTCCTTTGTATATAAACTAAGGAGTGGGAGAGCTGAGTCAAATGGTGGTTCCATTCCAAGTTTTCTAAGAAATATCTATACTGCTTTGAAGTATAGATAAAAGTATAGATAAAATTGGTTGCACTAATTTTCAGTCTCACCAGCAATGTATGAGTGTGCCTTTTCTCCTACATTCTTACCAATATTTATTGTTTTCTGTGTTTTTGATAACTGCCATTCTGGGTAGTTTTTATTTACATTTCTCTAATGTGATTCCAATTAAAATTTCAATGTCATTCTTTATAGAAGTAGAAAAAGAAATCTTGAAATTTGTTTGGAAAAAATAAGAGACAGAGAATAGCCAAAACAATTTTTAGTATGAAGAGTTAAGCAGGAGGCATCACAATACCAGAAGTATATTAC